TATTATATAATATTTATTATATATTAAATATATGAAATTTCTTCCTCTTTTTTATTATATTTTAAATAATTTAAAATAAAATATATAAAAATTGTTTTAAATATATTTAAATAAACTAATTAAATCCAAAATATTTACGCTAAATATATGATTTATTAATAAATTTGCATTGCATTATATATTTTGTTAAAAAAAAAATAAATTAAGAACATTCTGTAAGTAAAAAATGAAAACATTTTGAAAATACCTTCATAGAATGTAATTTTTTATTTCTTCTAAATAATTTTTCATAAGGCAAAATATAAAAAACATCTTCATATTGAAACTATAAAATTATTTTTCACCAATTCTATATTAATTATGCAATTTTTTATCCCTTATTATGCAAGAGAATTCTTGCTTCACGCGTTATTTCATTTTTCTTCGAGGAAGCAAAGAAGCAATTCTCGATAATCGTTATGTTCGACTGTACAAAAAAATGTTCGATCTTTAGCCAGATTCACAACGAAAAAAATTCATATCATAATCAGATCACTACGCGATATAATACATAGCAGTAAACTGGAAGTAATGCTACTATCTAATTATAAATAAAAAATAAACATTTATCTTTTAACGAAATTGGCATTTCTTAAGTGAAACTTTTGTTGATTTAAACTAAATGTATATATCGAGTCACAATCTTATCTTACGTGTCAGTTTTAACCAACAAAACTTTTACAAATTTTTATCATTATATGAATGACAATTATAGACATATATCAATGATATATAATGATGTTTTAAAATTAAAATTAACGTCCTTCAATAGTTTAGAATTTCATTGACGGTTTGAATCTTGAAAGATTGTGCGATAGATTATCTTGTGATATATAAAGATTTTTTTTCTGTTGAAAAAATTATGTTATAAAGTTTTGATTTACAAATTGGAATAAATTTACATTAATAACATTACTTTAATAAACATTTGTAATATATAGTTTTTTAAATTTGTTTAACTATTATTTTTTAAATTTGCTTTATTGATTTGTGATTAATAGTTGTAATTATTTGAATTAATTTTTGATTGAATGAAAAACTACTATTATAATTATACAATTACTACAATTATTATATTATATTATAAATTAAATTTTTCTTTCATTAATTATAATGAATATAAAAATAGCTACTTAAAAAAAATGAAAAAAAAAAAGTAATCTTAGAGGGGAAAAAAGAAATTTTTTTTCATTTTTTTTAAGTGGAATTAATTTTTTATTATTTAAATAAATGTTATAGTATTTAACAAATATTTTTTTTATTTTAAATAATTAAAAAATTATAACTATAATGATAAATGTTATATATATAACTAAATAA